TCAAAAGGTAAGAAATGATAGATTCAAACGTGCAAATGTGAAGAATAAAGAGATTCTATTGTTTTTAACAGGACATACACAATATTTAAAATTGGTTATACAAAATCGGTTGTGATGTAACTTATTTAGTAAATTTGCCAAGAATTGCGAAAATGTCACAATGCCAACTATTAAATTGGTTGTGAAACAACCAATTTCATACTCACGTCGTAGTCTATTTTTGTGTGATTCTTTATAAGAGTCTAAAAAATATATAGAATATTTTATAAATATAAGTATTATACTTAAATTTAATTTAAAAACGTGTGCACAAAATTTTATTAAAAAATGTTTATATTTTAGGTTAAATTGTAATTTTGGTTACTCTATTTTTGTTAATTTGTAATTTTGGTCCCTATGTTTTTAAATAGAGATATTTAGTTTTTTATTTTAAAAATACAAAATTTTGGCCTTGTCAATTTGATGTTAGTTGATCATTAAATTTTTTGACATTTTTTAATTATATGTTACAACTTAAATGACGATATTTAGTAACATGATATATAAGAATAAAATTTACAAAACTTTTCGTTTATGTATAGTTTTATGAGTGGTTGATATTTATTTTATTAATAAAAATATTATTTGTTTGTTATTTTATATATTTTTTTATTTCTAAATGGTATATTACTAAATATTATATCATTTAAGTATGAATAAACATTAAAATTTAACAATTAATAGATGTCAATTTGATGAGAGGATCAAAATTTTATATTTTTAAAATTAGAAAAGACTAAATGTCTTTATTTTTAAAATTAGAAAGACTAAATGTCTTTATTTTAAAATAGAGAGATCAAAATTGTGGATTAATGAAGATAGAATAATTAAAGGTGTAATTTAACCTATATTTTAATACTTGAACATGCTTCAAGATATTAAAACTTCGTGCATAGTGTAGAAGAGTCTTTAAAAAAAACATCTATCAACAACAAATAATAATAATTTCAAGATAAAATATGTGCTTATTTAATTTACACTACAATAAAATTATCATATAATAACATATATTTTATAGTGATACAAAATTTGTCATTAAAAATTATTTTTTCCTACACAATAAATACAATATATGTTGTATATTTATTAAAAAAGTATGAATATAGACTATAATGACATACAAAATATATATATGTAGTTAAATTTCATTTAAAGTTAATACTAAAATTGTGTATATAATTATATATCAAATAGTTATATACCTACATGTATTATCCTTATAATAATATTTTTTTTACATATATACTGTAATATTAATATATTAATTACTCTATTAATGCATATACTTTTAGAAACTTGGGATGATTAGAAATAATACATATGATTCATTTTTATTGAAATGCATATTTTTTGGAAACAAAATATTGAAGCATGTTCGGAGGTTTAGAGTTTAGAAGATGTTGTGGGTACTATCATTGAGAATAATGCAGAGGATGACAGCGAAGATGATACAGTGTCTTTGGAGCCTGTTACGCGAAAGGAAGCACTTATGGCGTCGAACACTCTTCATAACTTTATGATACAATACAAAAATACAACACCTAAGCTATTGGATGCAATAAGAAAAGTTAGAGATGAGCTCCAAATAGACTTGAACTTTAAAGGAAAACAGACAACTATTGAATCATATTTCAATAGAGTGTAATATTTTTTTTTCAGTTTCTATGAATTATTAATTTATGATTTTCTTGGGACCGAAAATTATAAAGGGATCTCCCGAAAAATTATTATCTTATTATTTTATCGAGTTTTTCAATTTTTTACATTGGCCCAAGTCGGGACCGGACAAATTTATTATTTTAGAGAGTTTATTAATTTACCGAGTATTAATTTAAAGAGTTTCTACTGTAT